AGAAAGAAAGAAAGAAAGAAAGAAAGAAAGAAAGAAAGAAAGAAAGAAAGAAAGAAAGAAAGAAAGAAAGAAAGAAAGAAAGAAAGAAAGAAAGAAAGAAAGAAGGAAGGAAGGAAATAAGGAAATAAGGAAGGAAGGAAAGAAAAAAAGTTTTGTTGCCCAACTAGCCAATTCCAGTTGGGTCCGCAGGGGGCCAACTACTCACAGAAGTCGTTGTTTGTCCTTCATTTTCAAAGAGGACCATGACATCAGAGAGGTGATGCCATGACATGCAAATGAATTGAATTTATGTGAGTGAGGGCTGTGCAAAGTCACCAGTCTCACTTTCTCCTCTAGAGCCATCTGGGTCCAGTGGCAAGATATAGAACAGGATGACTGGATATGGCCCTCTTACAGGTAGTAGAGAAGCAACTAGTAGCCATTGAGAGATTGAAGATAAATGAGAGAGTGGGGATGATAAAGGAGGCAATCTGTGGGAGAAGATGGCATGGAATGGGATCACTTGTACATATAGAGCTGTTTGTCAAAGCCTTTAGAAGAGCCACCTGTTCATGAGAGACAGCAGTGAAGTAGGAAAAATGGCAAAAGGCATCTGGATGATGTAAAAAGAGGGGGAAGGGAGAAGAAGGAGCTCCCTGCAAATTACCTCAATTTTTTTCCATGAAAAATAAGGAAAGGCTCTCATCTGAGAGGGTAGGTGAAAGGAAACCATAGAAGGCTTAAGGAGGTATAAAAAGGTTTGGGAAAGTCTCCATAGTTAGTGGGCTAATAAGTAAATTTGTTGTTTAGTTGCTCAGTGATGTCCAATTCTATCTTGGCAAAGATACTGGAGTGGTTTGCCATTTCCTTCTCCAGCGGATTATGGAAAGCAGAGGTCAAATGACTTGCCCAGGGTCACACAGCTTAATGAGTGTCTGAGGCCAGCTTTAAACTCAGGTCTTCCTGACTCCAGGCCCAGCATTGTATCCACTATGCCACCTAGCTGCCTCCAATAAGCAAATTAAGGAGGTATAAAAAGATTAACTTGTAGCAATGAGGGCCCAGTTGAGGTCAATAAAATTTTCCTAAGTAAAAGAGTGGCATGATCAGACTTGTGCTTTAGGAAGACGATTCTGGCAAAATATCTCTAAAGAGGCTATTTAGTATGATACCTGGGATGGAATGCTCCCCAGACTAGTTTCAAGAGATCATCTAGAAAGAGGTTCCTTCTGTGTATGACTTTTTTTCTCTCTTGCCTAGGACTTTACAATGACCTTTTACCTCAGACATTATTGGAAAGATGAAAGGCTCTCCTTTCCTAGCACAAGAAACAAAAGTATGACCTTTGATGGTAGATTAATCCAAAAGATTTGGGTGCCTGATGTCTTTTTTGTACATTCCAAAAGATCCTTCATCCATAATACAACCGTAGAGAACATTACGCTTCGAGTATACGCCGATGATAATGTCCTCTTCAGTCTCCGGTAAGAACAAAGCTTTCCTGTCATGGACATCAAAAATGCTTTTCTTTTCCTACACTCTTTCAGACTAAACCAAATCAGGAGTATGTCTGACTTCCTAAATATAAACTAGAAATTTCAAACAGCTGTTTTGTTCATTGAATCATGTTTCGGGCAGGGGCTGGGGAATGTTCTAAGTTTCATTACACTAAGCATCATTTTGCCAAGTACAAGCCTCTTAATCTTAGAGAATGATTTGGCAAAGATTTTGTAATTTCAATTTCATCCAGCCTGCTTTCCTGTGAGATCCATGTTAAATACTTATTGGGATTGTTGTTTTTGCTCAGTTTTTTTCTCAACTTTTTTTCTATATTTAAAATTTACTGCACTTAAGTACATAGCAGATTTCAGTGAAGTTAAAACTGAAAAAAACTGAAACAAACTGAAAACTGCAACAAAGAGCTCAGATCTACATAAATATCATTAATGATTTATTCATGTTGGTATACAGAACCATACATATATATATATATCATATAAAATATTTTATTTTTTTTCTACTGGAGAACAAGAATCAGGTGTGGAAGGGAACAGAGGCAACAGAAGAGAGACATCATCAAAAGGCAAAGTATCATTTACTCAGCTTTTCTCAGAAGGAAAACTTCTAATATTTAATAAAAATTCTATTCAGTTTCATCAGTTAATGACACCCGTATAAGACGTGGAGCAAAATACATCATCAAAAACGTTAGGAGTACAACAGGAGCAGAGTTGGTCATGTAAAGAGAATGAGAAACTAACAGACAGATGAAGTAGTACACCGATTCTCCTAAGATTGAGAAAAAGGGTGGTAAAATCTCTGTGGAAGTCAAGAATAGCAAATAATGATAAAAGTAGAGGAGTTTCAATTTGCATTTGTAGAAAGAGTTTCTACACTGATGAAGAACAGATGTACCAAGAGATCAAGGCATTAACCCACTAGTGGTGCCATTGGTCATAGCCACATCAGAATGAAACATGAGCAAAAGAATAAAAATAATGCCATGAGTCAGAGGACTAGCATTTTCAAAATCCCTACCATTCATAAAAGGGCAGCTAGCTGGTGCAGTACTGGGCGTGGATTCAGGAAGACTCATCTTCCTGAGTTCAAGTCTGGCTTCCAAAGTATGACCCTGGGCAAATCACTCAACTCTGCCTCAGTTTCCTCGTCTGTAAAATGAGCTGGAAAAGGAAATGGAAATCTTTGTCAAGAAAACCCCAGTGGGCAGCTAGGTGGCGCAGTGGATAGAGCACCAGCCCTGAATTCAGGAGGACCTGAGTTCAAATCCGATCTCAGACCAAACACTTGACACTTGCTAGCTGTGTGACCCTGGGCAAGTCACTTAACCCCAACTGCCTAAGCAAAAAACAATAATAATAATAATAATAATAATAATTTAAAAAAAAAAGAAAACCCCAAATGGGGTCACAAAGAGTCAAACACGACTGAAAACGACTGAATAAAAGACAGTATTCATAAGCCTAAGTGTGTGGACATGTCATAATGAGTTGGCCTAATAATATTTTGGTCATGTCTAATTTTGCTATAAACATAGGCTGTACCTACACAAAAAGTTTGCCCACTCTGGGATTCCAAAGACAATGTATTATACACTTTTCTGCCCTCAAAGAGCTTACTTATAACCTAGTTTGGGAAATAAAAACTAATACATTGGAAATAACAGTGAGCCAATTATTTCTAAGTCTATAAGTATTGTTGAATTTTAGAAGAGAAAAATCAATGATGGCTAGAGTAATAAGGGAAGACTTCTTTGAGGAGTTGGGACTGAAACTGGAGAGTTTAAAACTGGGTAGAATTAATAGAAATAGAAGAGAAAATCAAGGAAATTCCAGGCTAGGGGAATGACATCAGCAAATGCATGGAGGTGGGGGATAAATACTATGTACCAGTGACACAAGGTGAATAAAGTGAATGAACAGGGAGAAGTTGTGGATCATATGAATAAAGAAGTAGACTGGGTACTTTAGATGTGATACAGTTACGATAGTGGTTGCACACGTTTTGGTCCTAAGACTCTTTACACTCAAAACCATTGCACAGAGTTTTTACTTATGTAGGTTATGTCTATTGATATATATGAATATAATTGATATTGATAAAATATCCTATTACAATAAAAAATAGTTTTGATGTTGTAAACCTGAAGGGATCTCACTGTACCCTCCCCCAGAGATCCCCAAACCACACTTTGAGAGCTGCAGTAGTAGGAAATAGGGAAATATTAAAGCTATTTGAAAATTTGAATAATGTTACGAAAACAATGTCTAAGGCAGATCAAACAATAAAACTCTAAAAAGCAAGTTTTTTGCTGGAATTGTCCAAATAATGTCTTCAGCTCCTATATATACACAAAATTTTCCATATGAAGACCAGTCATGGTCTTTCATTTCTTTTTTCTTCAGTTTCCTTATTCAAAAATGGGTAAGTACTAAAAACTGCTCTCTCCACTGATCTTAACCCCTTGCCATGTTGTTTACAGCATAACATATCTTTCTACAGTCTGAGTCTTGTGTACATTGAATGGTTTATCAATGATTAATTTTAGAAAGGGCTTCAGGTAAACCTGGACATTTCAACTTCTTTTCATCCATGTGTCCTGGAGAGGTTTTTGTAGATAATGAAAAAAAAATTTTTTGGCTCAGGTTAGTACAAATGAGTCATTGTTCCATGCCATGAACACCCTGTAGCAATAGAAGAAAAATAGTACTATGTACTTCTATCTTAAATTTTTATTCAGAAACTAAGTAGTAAAAGCACCAGCACCAATCCTTACCAGGAATTGAGAGTACTACCATGGTATTTGATAATGGACCCACTATTTTTTTTTCCTATCACAGCTTTTGGAAGTCTTAATGGCTGAAATATGCTAAATAGATTAGGTCATCAGTACAGTCAGTCCAATATATTCATTCATAATAGCCACCACTTACAGGTTTGCAAAATGCTTCACAATGATCTCTCTTTATCCTCACAATAACCCTAAGAGGTGGGTGCAATTTCTATCACTATTTTACTGATGAGAAAACTGAATCTGAAAGAGGTTAAGCTACTTGTCCAGGGTCACACAACTGGTAAACATCTGAGGCCAGATATAAACTCAAGTCTTCCTGACTCCAAGTCCAATATTCTATCCAGTAGGCCACGCAAGTTGCCCCCGTTATTGTGATAGCCAAACACAACTAACTGAATATTTATGGGTAGAGAGGAGTGTTTTTGTCATGTGGATATGGCCTGTGGCTGTTGTTTTTTTTTCCAGAGGAACATTATAGTTCTTCTTTATTTTCTACCTGTGGAGATAAAGAGATGTTCCATTCATCTAATCAACTCACAAGGTTGATGGAGTCAGGGATCTGTCGCCATTTGTTTTTTGCAAATGTGCTTAGGGGCACACTATTTCTGATCTTCTTTTGTTCTAATGAATCCACAACCAGAACTTCTGCTACTAGACAGGATCAGAACATTAACTTCTGCCTCAAGGCAGGAAAATGTAGAAGAGAACAGAATTAGCAAAAAACAAAACAACAGTCTTCATCATTATGTAAGCCATTGATGCAATCACATGAATTATACATTTTGAAATAATTTATTTTAAATTGCTTAAGACTCTGAGGAAGATGAGGAACTAAGTGCTGTTTGTAGTTCATAATGAGTCCCGGACAAAGCAAAAAAAAAACGAAAACAAATAAACTTCAAATATAAAGGATATTGCCACACAACAACCCCAACTAGCATTTGATTTGCAAATAAGGATCTCAATATTTAATTCCTATTGGACACCTCCCCATTGACTTTGTATCCTTAGGAAGTCATTTTGTTTTCTTTTCTGGACAAGTAGAATAGGTTTTGTTCAGATACCTAGGAACCTGTCTAACTCCATGTTCTCACACCATTCCCTTCTATCCAGGAAATCTCCTTCTGAAACCAAAACCCTGAAGAAAACTCAGCTGTCCACTATTGGAACTAATATTACCTGATAAAAGTCTGCTTTGGTTTTCATCAATGTTCTTTCTATACTGATATATGTTATGTGGGGAACACTAGCAAGCAGACAACAAATTCTACTTCTTATGTATATAACAATGTCCATATAGAGGACAGAGCTCTATGGCAAGGCTGGTGGCTTTGAGGGCTCCAGGCTTCTACCCTCCTGGAGTCTACACTCTAGTAGGGGAATAAAGCATTCATCTATCCTCACTTTACTGTGATGATTGATATCTGAAATGCATAGTCACTTTCCCCATTGCCTTACTCACAACACACAAGCCTATTATCACATCAAAACTACATCCATCAATGAACATACTGAAAAGGGGATACACATTTATATAGCATCTACTATGTGCCAGGTACTGTGCTAAGTGCTTTTATAAATACAATCTCATTTGATTTTCACAACAACCCTGTGAGGTGCTGTTATCCCCATTTTATAATTGAGGAAACTGAGGCAAACAGAAGTTAAGTGACTTTCTCAAGGTCACACAGTAAGTGCCTGAAGTAAAATTTGAACTCAGATCTTTTTTACTCCAGGCTCAGGTCTGCAGAGATCCACTGTGCTACCAGCTGCAAATTGCTCCCAGATGTTCTTAAGTACACCCTATAGAACTCCAATTAAGCATCATAATTATGGCCACTCTCAATGGCAGGAGAAGGGGAGAAGATCTCACAGAAGACTTCCCATGGATGGTGCAACATCTACAGCTGTCTTCTCCATTCAGGTCTACAGTGTAGCCAGCTCCAAGTCAATCTATTGCAATGAAGATTAATAACTGCATAATGCTTGGGAATGTGCAGTGAATGTACAAATGATAAGAAAGCACAAGTCATCTTGTATACCCATTTGTCTATATTGTATGATCTGCATTTTTTCCTTTACTGTTTTTCTTATAGGGTAACGGTTTCTGCCGTGTGCTTTATGGATTTCAGTCAGTTTCCTCTTCACACTCAAAACCGTTCTCTTGAACTAGAAAGCTGTAAGTCTCGCTGTTTGGTTTAATATATCTATGCGCTCTGTACTTAAAGCATATGCTGGTAAGGGAGCATATCATTATTAACTATATTGGATCACTGATGCAGGTTAAATGTATTTATTTTTTAAACAGGGTTATTTAGCTACAAAGGTAGATAGTAGTCTTTTTCATGTACTACTTTCAGAAAGGTATATTTTAACACAATTATAGATTTTTTAGTTTTTTTAATTATATCTTATGTGACTTTTTCAAATTACAGAGTTTCCAAAATGGTATTTAACCCAGCTAAGGAAAGAGAATCTTATGTCCAAACATCATCATCATCCTATTTCTATTTAACACTTAATGAGTTTAGGAATTGAATTGAATCAATTGAATATGAACCAATAACCTTTATTAAGTCCTGGCCTAAAAATTAGCCAGATAGTACATTTAGTCATTAATCCTGCATTAGAATCACAGAATCCTAGTTGCAGAGTTGGGAGGGACCTTCAAAGCCATCTAGTTCAATCCTCTCATTATCAGATAATAAACTGAGGCCTAGAGAGGTTAGGCAACTTACTCAAGGTTATACAGACTTTAAGTGACATACCTAGGTTTGGAATCCAGGTTCTCTGATCCTAAATCCAATGTGTCTTTTCACTGTACAATGTTGCCTCTCCACATTGCGTGTGCCTGGGACCTATTAAAAAAATTGATCAGATCCCAGAAAGACAAAGCCACAGAAACAAATGTTTAAGAATCCATCTGACTGTGCAACCTGTCCATAATCTTGACCAACTAGCAGTTATGACTTCAACTTGAAGTCCAACTTCAAGTATTTTTGTGATGTCTATACAAACATGCTCTTGGATAAACATTTCTTTTTTAATTAAATTTTAATTTTTTTAATTTACAGAAATTTATTTTCTCTCCTTCCCTATTCCCATTTGGGGAAAAAAGAAAAATACTTTACTTGTAACAAATCCACAAAGTCAAGCAAACAATTTCTCTCATTGGTCCTCTTAAAAAAAAAAAATAGGCCTCATTCCCTTAGTCTATCACTTCTCTACTATCTTCTTATGAAACCCCTGTTGTATCATTACTTAGTCATCATTCAAGATATAAATTGGACAGTCAATGATAACCTGAGTTAGTCCTGTGTTTGCCACAGCACCAGATTGGCAAGGACTCATACTTAGGGTGTTGACGAACATACTAAAGTCTTTATATATTTGAAAAGGAATTATTTTTCATTGTTCCTATTTAAAACATACTACCAGCAAGGAAATATGGTATAATGGATCTTGAGAGACCTGGCCTTGAGGTCAGGAGGTCCTGGCTTCGAGTACTGATTCTGACACATACCAGTTGTATGTTATTCTGGGCAAATCACTCAACTCCTCATTGCCCCAGATTGTGTTTCTGGGAAGGTGTGAGGTGTGCATTGGTAAGCAGTTTTCCTCACCTGAGAATTCCCCATATCAGTGAAATTGCAGATCCAGTCCCTAACCCTCTACCATTGTTACTATTACTCAGGTGCCACCTCCTGTTGTAAGTAAGGCCTTTCCTGGTACCTCCATCCATCCATGTTGTTGGTGTTCTCCCCCTCCTGAAATTACTTTATATGTACTTTGTACATGCTCTATCCCTGCTAGTAGACTGTAAGGTCCTTGAGAGCAGGTAACGTTTCATTTTTGTTTTTGTATTGCCAGAGCCTAAAACCATGCCTCATGTGTAGTAGCCACTTCGTAAATGTTTTTCTGGTGTTGTTGTTGAGTCATTTAAGTTGTGTCCAACTCTTTGTGACCCCATTTGGAGTTTTTGGCAGAGATATTGAAGTGTTTTGCCACTTCCTTCTCCAGCTCATTTTATAGATGAGGAAACAGAGGCAAACAGGGTTAAGTGACTTGCCCAGGGTCACAAAGCTAATAAATGTCTAGGGCTAGATTTGAACTCAGGTCTTCCTGACTCCAGGCCCAGTGTTCTAACCACTGTACCACCTAGCTGCCCACATAAATGTTTACTGACATTAAATCAATGAATCAAAGAGATTAAATTGTCTCAGGTATTCTATAAATACCTCTTGATGGTTTTAGTTTAAATTCTGGCTACCTAGGAACATATCCCCAATACACAACATTTTTTCCTATGGAACTAATTGCCTCCTATAAAGTTACTTTCTTTAAAGAGTATTAATAACCAATTAAGTATTTGATTTAGGGTACATTGAAACATCTCAGTGAAGCTTACTATGCTACCTGTTACCTGATAATACATGGAATTATACAGGTCAAAAGGCATGATGTGTTTCCAAGATTTGTCTGTAAATTCCAATCTTATTCCATTTTTTCACCTTCTTTCTTATGAAGATTTGCAGTTATTAATAAAATACCACAAAAACATCTTTGGAAGATACAGTTGCTCTGTGGTAGAGTCCTGGTTTTGGAGTTCAAGAACTTGGCTTCAGATTCCTGCTCTCTTACTTAACTAATAGGACTTTGGGCAAATCATTTCACCTCTGTGGACCTCAGTTTCCTCATCTGTAAAATAAGGGATGATAGGACTAGATGGTCTTAAGGTCTCTTATAACTCTAGATTTATGAACTGTGATATAATATAGTCCTATGATTGATGACCTTTAAGGTCATTTCCAACTCCAAATCTGTGGTCCTATGATCATAGTCAGATCTCTCCACCAATCCTGTGGTATTTACCTGAATCCTAAGGCCTTCTTTCTGGTGAAGTTCTAGCATGTAAAGGAGTGAGCACAGATCTAGAGGCAAAGGTTTGGCAACCATATTGAAATAAGCTTAACTGTGCTAAACTTGTGAAAACTGTCCATTGAACACCAGCCATGCTAGTATAATCATTGAAAAACTTAAGATTCCTTTTGGACATGAGGATTGATCAGACAAGAAATATTTATTGAGTACCTACCCTGTACAAGGTTCTGTGTTAGATGCTGAAAGTCTTAGGAGGCTCTGGATTAGTCCTCAAAGAGTTTACAATCTAGTTATAAGGATTTTGTTTTCTTTTTTTTCTTTTAGATGCATATAATGAGGAAGATTTGATGTTGTACTGGAAACATGGAAATAAGTCCTTAAACACAGATGAGCCTATTTCCCTTTCTCAGTTCTTTATTGAAGAGTTCAGTGCATCTAGTGGATTAGCCTTCTACAGTAGCAGTGGTATAGTATGTTACTTAACCTACTAAGAAGCATTTATTAAACACCTACTATGCTCTGCACATCTATTGGTTTAAACCCGGTATTTTTATCTAGTTAGCCAACTAACATATAGCAGTAATAAAGTTGCTAATTTATCATTGGCCAAATTTAATGATTTATCCAAAACTTTGCTATATGCTACATATTTTTACTGTTTATTAGTAAGAGAATATGCTTTTTAGTTTCACATTTATCTAAAGATCTCAAGGCATTTTACTGAGTTACACATGATTCTTACATCTGTTAGGACATTAGCTACACCCCTCTTGGAACAGAGAGGAATAGCTGTATTGTTGCTGGTCCTCAGTAACCTACATACTCATCACCAGGAATCACCAAATCATAGAATTGGAAGGGACCTCCAATTCATACCTGAACAAGAATCCCTCTGCATTGATGGAGTCACACTCAAACAGCAACAGATCCCTGTGAGCCACACACTGACAGAAAAACTACAAATTAACATTATCTGTATTTTATTGTATTTGTGTTTATTTTGTTAAACATTTGCCAATTGCATTTTAATCTGGAAGTCCTTTGGGGATTCGAAGCTGCAGGTCCTACAACTCTGCTTTACATCATTTATTGTTCAGTTATGTCCAAATTCATTGTGATTCAGTGAATCATAGCACTCCAATACTTTCCATAGGCTTTTCTTGGCAAGGATACTGGAGTGGTTTGCCATTTCTTTCTCCAGAAGATTAAGGCAAACAGGTTAAATGACTTGCCCAGGATCACACAGCTAGTAAATGTCTGAGTCCAGATTTGAGTTCAGATCTTCCTTTCCCCAGGTGGCAGCTAGTCAGTGGAGAGAGTACCAGGCCTGAAGTCAGGAAGACCTGAGTTCAGATCACACTTCAGACACTAGCTGTGTGATCCTCAGCAAGTCACTTAACTCTGTATGCCTCAGTTTCTTCAACCGTAAAATGAATTGGAGAAGGAGATGGCAAACCATTTCAGTATTTTTGCCAAAAAAATGGGGTCACAAAAAGAGTCAGACAAAGCAGAATAATTTCTTGACTCCAGTTCTATCCACTGAGCCATCTAGCTGCCTCTACGTCATACCTACCAACCAGTCACCAAATGTTTTCTTAAAGGTGTCCAAGAAAGAGAAAACCACTGACTCCTGAGGCAGCCCAATTTGATTTTGGATAGTTTCTATTGTTTGGTGAGAGACAGCACAATGTGCTAGATAAAAAGCCAGCCTTGGAACTAGTAACACTTAATTTCAATCCCTACTTCTGACTTAGATTTACTGTGTGACCATAGCGAAGTCACTTGATCTATGAGAATGCCCCTGGCAATCTTCTAAGACTCTAGAACAGCTGCAGATCTGTCTGTGTATATGTAGCTTCCTCACTGGAAATTTCCTCCACCATTAAAATTATGGGCTCAGCCCTGACCCTTTACAAAAAAAAAAGTTGTTAGAGTGACAGTGATTGAGGATTGGAGTTGCCTGGTTTAGAAGAAAAGCTAACTAACTACTTCTTGAGTGGCCTCCACCCTTGTGGAGACAGCTACTCTTTCTCTCTTTTTTTTTTAAGCTTTTATTTAGCATTTTATTTTTCCCCACACAGGTAAAAATAATTTTTAACATTCATTTTTAAAACTTTGGGTTTCCAATTATCTCCCTTCCTCCTCACCCTATCCCCATTGAGAAGGCAAGCAATTACATACAGGTTATACATGTGTAGTTATGCAAAACATATTCATAATAGTCATGTTGTGAAAGAAACCAGACAAGAAAAATAAATTCAAGAAAAATAAAGTAAAAAAAAGTATGCTTCAATCTGTATTCAGACACCATCAGTTCTTTCTCTGGGGATGGATAACATTTTTTGTCATAAGTCCTTCAGAGTTGTTTTGGATCATTATATTGCTGAGAATAGCTGATCATCTTACAATATTGCTGTTACTTTGTACACAGTACATTTCACTTTGCATCAGCCCATGCAAGCTTTCCAGGTTTTTCTGAGAGCATCCTGCTCATCATTTCTTATAGTGTAATAGTATTCCATCACAATCACATACCACAACTTGTTCAGCCATTCCCCAATTGATGGGCATCGCCTCAACTTCTAATTCTTTACCCCTAGAAAAAAGCTGCTATAAATACTTTTGTACATATAAGTCCTTTTACTTTCTGTTTTTTTATCTCTTTTGGAATACAGACCTAGTAGTGGTATTGCTATGTCAAAGGGTATGCATGGTTTTATAGCTCTTTGAACATATTTCCAAATTACTCTACAGAAAGGTTGAATCAATTCACAACTCCACCAACAGTACATTAAAGTCTCATTTTTCCCATATTCCCTCCAACATTTGTCATTTACCTTTACTGTTCTATTAGCCAATCTAATAGGTACAAGGTAGTACTTTAAAATTGTTTTAATTTGCATTTCTCTAATCAATAGTGAGTTAGAGCATTTTTTCATATGGCTGTAGATAGTACAGCTGCTCTTTCAAGGCATCTCCATGAGCATGATGTCAAGGCCCTCATTCTAACCATAGGAATGGAATTGTGGGTAAGTGGAGTACTGCATAATGAAAGAATAGGAAGGAAATTTGATTGCCTGAGACCATTAAGGCCTCTGAGGGAAACAATTCCAACTCTCTACTTACTACTACTACTACATAAAATAAGAATAAGAATGATAGGCTAATATTTATATAGTGCTTTAAGGTTAACAAAGTACATTTTATATATATATATATAATATATATATATTATATATATATAATTCTATCTTAATTAACAATTCTTCTTCCTTATAATACCACTGCTTAGCTCATTCATTAACCATGACATCCATGACAGTCCAGACTCACATGGCTTGATATCTGCCTTCTTTGAAGTATTTAAAACACATTTTAAAAATCTCTTTGCTTTGTTTTGAGGCCCTAGAAGGGGGAATACCTCCCATTTAAAAAGAGAGCTTCCTTTGCCTTCTCTGTGAAGCTGACCATAACCTTTCCCTTGTGATACAAAATACCTACAGACCAGTAATGCCTTGGATTTTTCAGTTCTATTTTGGTTCCGGTTTCCTGCCAAAGCCTGGTGTGTCTTCTGCATGGCAGTAGCAGCAACAGCTGTGATGGCGCTGCCCGTTAAAGCAGTGATTCTCAAACTCTTCTACATAAGCACCCTTTAGTTCAGCCAGAACCTTAGCTGAGCCTTTGTAGCAATATCATCTAAAATTATTGTTTTTACTGCCTATTAATAAATAGCATAAAGTTCATTAAAAAAAAAACCTTGGGGTATTTCAGAGTTCCTTGCAGCACAGTTTGAGAAACATTGCTCTAGAACTCCTCCCATTTTTCTCTGTCCCATCCTCTCCCAAGTGTTTTATCCACATGCCACTCTTCATGAGATGTTGGAGTGCACACACCCCTCCACCTAGGATGACAAGAGATAGTCTCTGTGTTTTCTGGTACAAACATGGGACCATAATACTCAGGGGCTCACATAGACAGGAAGGAGGAACTTTACATGCACTTACAGTGGTGACACTAATCTCCAATGTCCCAGTACCCCTGGCAGTTAAGTAGTTTCTCTTTCCATCCATTGACAGTTCAGAACTGAATATGATACTGCAGATGTCTCACCAGTACAGAATACAATAGATGCATCATCTCCAATCATATGAACATTATTATATCTCCTGTAATGCTGCCAAAGATTTCTTGGCTGCCATATCAAACTATTGACTCATTATTGAGCTTACAATCCACTAATATGTTAAGCTCTTTTCTGGATTATATACTTTCTAACCACCCCTCATCTATCTTGTATTTGTGAAGTTGATTTTTTGAAATGAATTATAAGATGTTCATTACATTCAGACCAAGGTTCCAGTTGATTGAGATCTTTTTGAGTTTCATAGAGTCAGCTGACATGCCAGCTATCCCTCCCAGCTTTGAGTCATCTGCAAAAATTTAATGAGTACGATATCTATGTGTTCATCCTAGCCATCGGAAAAAAATATTAATTGTCAGAGAGTCAAGTACGGATACTTGGGAACATTCCATTGTAGATATCCTTTCATGGATATCAAACCTGTAGTAAATCTTCTTGCAGTCTAGCCATCAGGTGCAAATATCAGACTAGATGTTAATATGTGGATTTCTAAGTCAGTAAGTGGAGGCAGTGATCCTTACGTATAGTTCAGTGGCCTCTTTCTATTTGAGTTTGACACCATTGCTGTAAGTATAGAACAAATGTCCTCCAAACCTAGTCTATAGACCCCCTCTAGGAACTGATAGAAGAAAGAGTTTAGCTTCCAATTCTCAACCTTCAAGCTAAGTTATGCCAGTTATACAACATTCTCTCTACCTGCCCTAGCCTGCCGTATTGAACTTAGTCAGCCGTGGTATTTCATTTTGGATTTTCCATTTTTATGGCCATACATTTGAATCTTTCTATAGCCAGAGATCTCTTTGACAAGTTTATGTCTCATTAAAAGATATGTTTTAGTTTTTTCAAAGTGAACTTCAAATTCTTAGCATTAAAAAGAAAAAAATGTAACTTCTAATAAAAATGGAGAAAAATATGTTTTTTTTTTAAAGATTCTTCATATTTCTGAGAGCTTTGGTAGTTCCAATAAAAAAATTTCCTTTGCTTTTGGTCCAGAGCTGTGATTTTACTGGTATATAGAGCTTCCAATGAGGAAACTACCTCTACCAAAGCAGATAGGCATCTTTTGCAATTTCTGCTCTTAGATGAGCAGACCTCTTAGAGCAGTTGTGACTTTCCCCAGGGTCAGACAGCAAGTTAGTGTGTGAAGTGGGATTTAAGTCAGGTCTTTATGATTCCTAATCCATACTCTATCTATTCCTGCTGCCTCTGTAATTGATAGGTTAGTATAGTTTGAATCATCACTTGGACTTCATTTATAAAATGTAAGAGAAAAGTATTTTGTAGTATTTTTGATTTTGTATCAATGGCAACCACTGATGGATTTGCTTGACCATTCTCTGAAGTTAATATTTTTTAAAAAAAAGAAAGGCTCACATTCAAAAATTTCTAGATGTCCCTGCCTCAGGTATGTATTTTCCCCCTTCCACACAACTGATAAATTATTAAATATTTGTATCCCAAGACAGTATTTCCCTGATCTGTTCCCACTAGAGCACCCTATTAAAGGGTATCTCCCATCTACACATCAAAATTATTCAAGATTGGATAATTAAAAGATATAACAACAAATGTAATCTTACTTGACAAGCTTAAAACAAAGCTATATGCTCATGCAAAGAGTTGACCACTGTCATGGAGGAGATCAAGCAGAGAGTTCCAATCTTGCTGAAGTACTAACCATTTGTGTGACCTTGGGCAAGTTATTCAACCTTCCTGGACCTCAGTCTCTGTATATATAAAATGGGGGGGGGGGTGTGAACAAGAAGGCCTTTGAGGTCCCTTCCTCCTAAATCTATCTTCCTTCCTAAATCTATCACTCTAGAATTGTATGATGCCTACAGATGTTGAGGTCCTTCAATTGCTCCTATTTGTCAATGACATTAAGCCCTGGAGCATTGTAGAACCTCCTGTAAGATATATGTCACTATACCAGAGAGTTTGGACTATCATCCATATCAGAAAAAATCAAGTGGACAAAGAATATCTATCATCCATATCATAGAACACATTCATGGTAGATGGACACCCCATAGAACTTATCTCTGTGTATCTACATCTTCAACAGTCAGTACAAATGGACAATGAGTTGACCCTAGAATTAAACAGAAGAGAACAGGCTGCATTATCCTCAGGAAATTTCGGGGCTCTTTTAATAATTCTAAATTTCTTCCATCTATTTAGTACTGATGGTGAAGCAATTACCCAGAGAGGCCAAACAAAGTAGGATAGGATTATTTGCCGCAAGTCAGATTTCAAAGAGTTGAGGAGGATGTATAGGGTGATGAAGTGGAGACATTGGGTATAAATTACTTGACTATGAAAGAAGGTAAAAGAGAATATGGAGGGCATAGAAAGATAGAGGAAGGTCTTTAGGACTTGGGAGATATGAACCTATCTGTAAATAGATGAAAAGGTAAAATGCATGATAAAGGTTGATTGTTAAAACCAGGGGCAGGGAAGTACAGTAGTAGAAAGGGATAGGATCACAGATCCCTGTAAGAAAATTAAGCTTGTAGGGACACTTTTTCTTCTGGGACAGAAGGGAATAAAGAGAGAATGGTTGATGATGCCAAGAAATTTTTAGTAATAGAGATAAACTGAGGTAACTATAGTTGTATGGTTTCAAGTTTCTCAATGAAGAAGGAGAGGAAGGAAATGAGTATTTATATAGCACTTACTATTGCCAGACACTGTGATAAGGACTTTTTACAAGTATTATCTCATTTGATGGATGAAGAAACCATCACTATAAGCACAGGGGTGTAGGTTGTTTTTGAAGGCTTTAAGCCTTTCTTTAAGAAAAAGGCAAATAGTTGTTATTATTGCTGTGAAGCAATTACCTAGAGAGGCAAAATAAAGAAGGATAGGATTACCAAGAAGCAATGAAGCCCAGAAAAAGTTATGTTACTTTGGAAATTACTACTACACCCAGACTCGCTGTGAATCCTTTCACTTCAAACAAGCCAACATTTAGTATAATGCCTGGCACATAGTAGGCAATATTATTATCATTATTATTGACTGAGTGACCAAGTAAAACATTTGAATCACATGCATTGAGTCTGATTCAATCATTTAACAATTTTTGATTGATGTATAAAACATCATGCTAAGAACTGTTGGGAAAATACAATGAAGACAATAGGGAAAGGGAATCAGCATTTATTAAGCACCTATTATGTGCCAGGTACTGTGCTAACTACTTTACAAATATTGCCTCACCTGACAGAGTTCCTGCCTTCAAACAACAAGCACTTACTAAGTGCCCCTATGTTGCAGGCACTCTGCTAAGTGCTAGGAGTACAAACAAAAAGAATGAAGTAGGACATATGCACATATGGCTCTAACTCCCAGATTGAAAAATGGAAATACAATAAGAGGGGTACAAAGTGCTGCCACCATTCAGAGATGGCAAAGATTACTAACTACTAACAACAGAGAGGGAAAATTTAGCTAGGCATTGAAGGACAGGAAGGAATTGAAGAAGAAACACTGAGGGCAAAGACATTCTAGGTTGTACAGTAATTGATTTAAATATCTTGGGGTTTTAAAAGTCAGGAGTCTTTGGGCTGTTGTACTAATGGTTTGTTAAATGAAAATGGCGGTAAAAGTCACCCATGGTTCCTCTCCTTGGTGCCTTTACCAGCATTTCACTTGAGTTATTGAACTCCCTTGGTGCTCTGCTGGCTATCCCCTGGGACTTAAATCCTTGAGAGATCTGTTGCAATCTCCATCATCAGCCAACTAGTATCACTGGCATTTGGGAAAGGAGCACCTTAGGAGTATTCCTGGAGTAGGACTTCTTTAACTTGCCTAATAGACAAATCATCTCTTTTTCTAATTATCCACTTGAGGAAGGAGAAAATTTAACACTTTGAGTTTTGAGCTTCCCTCCCCAAATTTATGACCAACAACTTGTAATAATTTGGGTGTTTCAGAGAGTGGGTTTTTTTTCTCAAATGTTGAGTGTTCTAACCACAGTTAGGAAATACTTGGAGATTCTTATCTTTCCAGCAGAATACAACCTTAAAATATTTTGTTAAATTGGGCAAAAGATCTTTCTAACTACGTTTACAATATGTGGTTGAGATTACAGAGAAGCTACACAATGCCCGCTAGTGATGTACAGAATGATTGAGGGCCATAATCATGGGTGTCTTTTTAAACAAGTCATGTATCTGGATGTGGAAAACTGCTCTTAAATGTTCATAAAAAGATGAAAGTATGTATACCAGAAGGAAAGAAAGGGATAAAGATACAATTTCTTCACTACAAAATGTCTCTGCAGCGGATAGTTTTCTGTTTTCTGATATTTTGCCTTTAGAGGAGCCAGAAAAAAAAACAAACACACAAAAAAAACCCCACAAAAAAACACAATCTAGGTTGAACTTAGACTGCCCATGTCCAATAATTACACTGAAGTGCTTGGAGCAAGTTGCTTTGTTTGCAGAAAACTTGCAAATATTTTTGACGAAGTTTAACTGTGAAGTGTCACAGAGGATTGCTACAAAGGACAGCCTGCAGAATACTCTTGAGTTCCTTGAGATCATTTGGCTTTGAAATAAAACAATCATACTTTCATTTAATTTAATTCAACATTTACTTCTTGGAAATAATTTACTGTATTCTTGATTATTTTAGTAAGCTTGTTACCTGTGATTAGAATGTGAACTCCTTGAAAGTAGCAATTGTTTTATTCTGTGTATTTGTATCCTCAGCTCCTACAACAGGGCCTGGTACATAGTTAGCATTTAATAAACACTTGATTGATAATTGTGGGGGGGATAGAAGAGTAGGTACTTGTACTAACAGAAATTCTTAACTTTTCCCAACAGGTTGGTACAACAGGCTTTTCATTAACTTTGTGCTAAGGAGTCATATTTTCTTTTTTGTCCTGCAATCCTGTTTCCCAGCCATGCTGATGGTGATGTTGTCATGGGTTTCATTTTGGATTGATAGAAGAGCTGTTCCTGCCAGAGTTTCATTGGGTAAATCTTCATGAACCTTTGTGCAATGTTAATGATTGCATAGGCAACTGAGAGAAAAGAAGGGGGAAGTAATTTGGGGTGGAATGCAGAGGTTGTTTAAATGTTTCCGTGTGGATCCTTCCTCTAGACAATGGTAATGAGCTGCTGAGATTGAAATCAATAGCTAGCCATAGAGAATGAGAGATGTTTGGAGATGTTTTTATTTATTTTTTTTGTTCATTTATTTGTTTATTTATTTATATGTATATACATGTATATATATACATATATTCACACATATACATTTATATGTGTATATATATATATATACACATATTCATGCATATATAATGGAGAGAGGGGAAGTAAAAGAGAGAGAGAGAGAGAATATATTAAGTGTTCCAAGCACTCTGCTAATTGCTAGAGATACAAATACAAGAAAGCAAGATAGTCCCTGCCTCAAAGAACGTAATGGGAGAAGACAAAACATACAGAAGAACTAGAAAGACAGAGAAGGACAGGTGAGGCAGCATGGCATTGAGCAGCCAGGAAGTAGCTAGGAAGATACCTGAGCCTCAGAAATATTATGCCAAAGTTCACTTATCAGAGCCAAGTGGAATCCAGGTTATGGGTGGGCAGGAGGTGGAGGTGATAGTCTGACAAGAAGAGGCATGAGAGCTGTGTGTGAAGCACTAGGGTAGCAGAGAAGTGATATACTGAGTTGTTCCCTTTTAATCAGGCATAACTAACCCCTCAACAAAGATGAGAAATAGGTCAAGTTTAGATTCAGCAATCCCATCTTTATCTTTCGCCTTTCTTCAACCTCCTTTTCTTCCTCCAGTTCATGCTGCCATAGGTCTGGTTCCCCACTTTAAGGAAAAAGCTACCTGATCAAGTATTTAATACTAAGGGGTTTCTGACTCAATAAATCACCCCTCCCCAATGTGTTTGTTTTAAAAGGGTGTGTCATAGAGAGATAACAATGTTTAGCACAAAGAACTTTATTTATGATGGTAGAATTTCAGGTACTATGGTGTCTGAGTTAGGAGTCAGTTGGGAGCAAGGGGACTTTTTCAGTGCCTCTCAGAGTAGAACACATAGAAAAATGATTATTCTATTGAATATGCTACTTGCTACTCTGAAACACATAGAATTACAAGAAAGATAGAAACTAAATTTCATTGTAATTTACGGACTTAAAAAACCAGTAGTAGAAGATTCAGATTAAGAAATGAAAGGAAGTTCAGATATCATCTAATCAAACTTCTCATTTTACAATGCACAGATGATGCAACTAAGACCCAGAAAGGTTAAGTAATTTGCCCAAGGTTATACAAGTGGTAAATAGAAGAGCCAAGATTCAAACTCAAATCTCTCTGAATCCAGTACTATTTCCACTGTACCAAAAAGGGCCAATCTTATTTCTACTTATTTTGTTCTTTCTTAAGACAGATTAAAATAAGTGGTTCATAATTATTTTAATTAGTGTCTAATCTATGCCAGGAACATATTTAACATATTTAACATATAAGTTAAATGTTCATAAATTGTAGGAATCTTTCAAAAGATTGTTAGGGTTATACAGGCATACCTCAGCAATATTGTGGGTTCAGTTCAGATCACCACAATAAAATTAACATTGCAATAAAGTGAGTCACACAAACATTTTTGTGTGTCCCAGGGTATATAAAACTTATATTTATACTATAGTATAGCCAATTAAGTGTGCAATAATATTGTCTAAAAAAAAACAATGCACATAATCTTAATTAAAAAATACTTCATTGCTAAAATAAAACACTAACCATTATCTGAGCCTTCAGTGAGTCATAATCTTTTTGCTGGTGGATGATCTTGCCTTAATGTTGATGGCTACTGACTGATCAGGGTAATAGTTACTGAAGGTTGGGGTGGTTGTGTCAATTTCTTAAAATAAGACAACAAATGAAGTTTGCCTCACCGATTAACGTTTCCTTTCACTTGAAAACTTGGAGGCCATCGTAGGGTCATTAATTGGCCTAATTTCAATATTGTTCTGTCTGAGGGAATACAGAGGCCCAAGGAGAGGGAGAGAGATGGGGAGCAGCAGGTCAAGGAACAATCAGGACACACATAACATTTATTAATTAAATTCACGATCTCATATAAGTGTGGTTAGTGGTGCCCAAAAACAATTACTATAATAACATCAAAGATCACAGATCACCATAACATATAATAATAATGAAAAAAGTTTGAAATGTTGTGAGATTTACCAAACTGACACAGAGTCACGATGTGAGTACATGCTGTTGGAAAAATGGTGCCAATAGACTTGCTCAATGCAGGGTTGCCACAAATCTCCAATTAGTAAAAAATGCAATATCTGTAAAGCATAATGAAGAGAAGCACAATAAAATGAGGAATAAAGGTATTATTATTATTATCCTTTATCATTATTGTTCCTCCACTACAGAACTACTCTAATACCTCGTTGTGGTACTCAGATGAGCCTGGGTCCTTGAAGGCTATGTCTCAGAGCACAGCCTCTGGCAGACCCTACTAGATTGCTGGCTTCAGGTATGGACTTGATCACAGACTATATGTCTATGTCCTCTATCTGAAGAACGGCTAAGCTAAATTTGCAAAGGCTATTCAGGTCAGCTTCAATGGGACAAATTTGTTAGCCCCAGCAGTTCTCAGAGACCATTCCCTAAGTCATAGAGAAGCTGTGATAAATCTGTATGAGGAAGGAAGAAGGAGGAAAGGGAAGAAAAGGGAGAAAGGTTTTATATAGTGCCTACTATGTGCTAAACTGTGTAAAGCACTGTGTTAAGTACTTTACAAATATTATCTCATTTGGTCCTCACACCAACCCTGCAAGGTGCTTTTTATTATTCCCATTTTATAATTGAGGAAACTGAGATGGCATCGAGGTTAGGGAACTTGCCCAGTGTCACACAGTCAATAAGTATCTGTGGCTGGATGTGAACTGAATGTGAGCTGGATGGAGTCTTCCTGACTCCAGTCTAGCAATATCAATTCTGAGCTATATGATAAAGCTCTTTTTTTTCTTTTTTGAGACAATTGAGGTTAAGTGACTTGTCCAGGGTCACACAGCTAGTGTCGAAAGCTGAATTTTAACTCAGATCCTCCTGACTCCAAAGCCTGTGTTCTATCCACTGTACCACCTAACTGCCTCAAGCTCTTTTCTTAAAATATGTCAGCTACCACTTCATAAATATGTAGTAAAAAGAACTGTTATAATTAATTTGCAACTGTATTCTTCCTGGTAAAAATATGTATGAGGCTTCTGCACTATCTGACAACTGCTGAAGGATGTTTTAAATTCTTGCTCTGGGCAAGTCATTTAACCTCCTAGAACCTCAACATTCTCCACTGTAAAAAATGACAAGATTGGACTAGATAGGCTCTAAGCCTTTCTGACTTTAAATATATGACCCTATTAGCCTAAATATATCCTTGTGATTTGGGGAAGTATTATATTTCCTACCTTCACAGTACATTAAGTACACTGTTCTGTCAGCTGCTTCATTGTGTCACATCATTATCATTATCATTATCATCATCATCATCATCATCATCATCTCAACATTTATATAGCACTTACTATGTGCCAGGCACTGTACCAAGTGCTTTATAATTATTATCTCATTTGATCCTCATGACAGCCCTGGAAGGTAGGTATACATTTTTACAGATGCGCCCATTTTACAGATGAGGAAACTGAGGCAAACAGAGGTTAAGTGACTTGCCCAAGGTCACACAATTAATAAGTATCTGAGGCCAGATTTGAACTCAGGTCTTCCTGACTCTAGGCCCAGCTCTCTGTCCACTGCTCCACAATAACTACCAAAGGGGTATGAACCAGAACTGGGTAGTGCACAACATAGCAGTAGAAGTTTTTCAGTTTGCAGCCACTAATAAATTAAAGTATGCATCCTGGCTAACATAGATGCAATTCTTTCCCTCAACTGGCATCCAGCTTACCTCCTCCTATCTACTCATATTTGTGACTAGAGGAGATAATGTTTGGGAAACTAGAGCTGGGCTTTTTATCCACCCTTCATATTTATAAAGGCATAGAATTGAAAGGAGTCAATAAACTTAATTATGCCTAGGTATTCAATAAGGTTTTGGGCAACCCATTTGTGTAAAGAAAGGCTTAGGGTTCTGAAGTTACAAGAGAGGGATGTCTAGATCACTTTCCCTTCTACGTACACATATGGTCCTCCCTTCCTTCCAAGCCTATAGGAGGAAAAGGCTGTATTCGTTTCAAAGTGAGCATTGAGCTTTTGTTTTGTTTTGTTTTTTCCCTCTGATAGACCTGTCTATGGTCGAAGCAAATCTCTGGGGCAGATGGATCATCAGAGATGTTTCCCAGCTGACACACAATAGACTAGAGCAAATTTTTATCAGACCAGAAAACTTTTTTTACCAAAGGTCCTGATTTCTTGAAACCTTGTAAACTTAATAATCAACTTCTTTTTCATCTCTATTGCCTTTAATTCTGCTTCTCCCATATCCCAGATCTCTTCTTGGTCCCTATTCCTCCCCCATAGACATATTAGACTGAGGTTTATAAGGAGCAGAATGATCTGAGGTTTAAAAAAAAAAGTGGAGTTAACCCTTCCACATTGCGACTTTCCCCATTTGGTTTGGCCATATCATGGATCAGTATAAGAAATTAAATGGGAATTTTTTGGGAGGTTTGAGGAAGCCACAGACAATACACAAAGCCCAGCAGATGACACAAAAAAAAATTTAGAAACTCAGAAATGCATAAAATATGTGTATAGTGTTATATAACATCAATATATTTTATCTTTTAATAAATACCATAATAATTCAGACTTATCAGGTACAAAGGGAGGATCAAAAAATTTTACACAGATTTTCCAGGTTGTGGGGCAAGGAGTGCCCCTAACCCCTATGATGTGGAAAGGATAACTATAAATATTTTTACTTATCAATCAGCTACAACAGCTAGAGCAAAGGCACTGAGATGAGAAATGGAGTAT